GCAAAGGGGAGAGAAAGAAGGGGGTTTTGGGGGGGGACAGCAGCTTGGACCCCACCATGGGGATGGGGAAGGGACCCCCCCGAGGGTCCACACACGTCGTGACCCCCTGTGGCATCACCGGGATGCCCGGAGTGGGGCTGGGAGATGGGTGGCCACATCCAGCCCCACAGCAAGGGACTGGTGATGGGGGGTCTGGGCTGGGAGGGTACAGTCCCCACATGGTGACACCAACCTTAAAAGCCACCACGGGGGCTGCTCTGCCCTGGGGGGGGCAAAACCTGCCCCACCGAGTGCCCCCACCACGGGGGGAATATCCCACAGGGACGCGTTGGGTCCATGTCCCCCCTCCCGGGGTCACCACAGATCAATCACCAGAGATCAAAGAGGTCCCAGCAGAGCTGGAGCTTCCCTCTGGGGACAGGGGACAATGGCTGGGGTGGCTTTTGTCCCCGCTGCAGAGGGCTGAGAGCAGGGGCAGGGCTGCCCCCACCCCCCCCAGGGCTCTCCCTGAACAGGCAAAATGAGGATAAAGGCACAGAATAAAAAAATAATACTCATTGGGAGAGAGAAAGGGAGTAATTGCAATAATTATCTTGGAGAAAGTCCCCTCTCAATATGAGAAAATGTGATTTTTATATATATGTTTTTACAGGAATTTAATTTTCTTTTCTCTCTCTTTTTTTTTTTTTTGAATTAAAGAAGGGGCGAGAGCATTATTCGCAATAAAGTTTAATTTTAGCTGGAAGCAGGGGGAATGGGGGTGCCACTCACAGGACAGCCGGCACACACCGTCTCCTCCAGGGGCACCGGGCACCACCGTCCCTCCCCTCCGGTGCCAGGGCAGGGACACGGTGGGGATGGTGACACGGGGATGGTGACACGGGGATGGTGACACGGGGGACACCCCCTGCTGCCCTGCAGGACCCCTTCGATTTATTTTTACCAAATAAAGCCACGGGGCAACTGCAGAGGGGGCACAGTCGGGTCCTTGTCCCCCCACCATCACCATCTCGCCGGTGCCACTGGCACAGCCCGGGCACAGCCGCTTTGGGGTGACACCAGGGACGCCGCGGACCCTCCCTGGGGGGGGTGTGTGTATTTTTTTGTCACCCATTCCTTTTTTTTTCCTCCCTGGCACTAAACCCCACGCAGAGAAGGAGTTGACGTGAGCTGTGCCCGGTGCCTGCTGTGCCACACTGTCCATGCCATGCCATGCCATGCCAAGCTCTGCCATGCTGAGCCATTCCATGCCATGCCATGTCACACTCTGCCACACTGTGCCATGCTGAGCCATGCCATGCCATGCCATGCCACGCCACACTGTGCCATACTGAGCCATGCCACACTGTGCCAAGCTGTGCCATGCTGAGCCATGCCATGCCGTGCCTAGTTGTGCCATGCTGAGCCATGCCATGCCACGCCATGCCACACTCTGCCAAGCTATGCCATGCTATGCCATGCCATGCCGTGCCGTGCTGAGCTGTGCCATGCTGAGCCATGCTATGCCATGCCATGCCATGCCGCGCCGCACCGAGCTGTACCATGCCGAGCCATGCTATGCCATGCCATGCTACACTGTGCCAAGCTGTGCCCATGCTATGCCATGACATGCCATGCTATGCCATGCCATGCCATGCCGAGCCGCACCGCGGGCACCCCGCAGCAGCCCCATCCACCAGCTCCATCCCCAGGGCCAGCCCGTGCCCTTGACCCGGCCCCGGGAGCGCCGGCGCGTCCCCGTGCCCGCGAGGTTAATGGCATTCCAATTTGCCAGCTCGAGGAGGAGGTAATTTCTTTTCTTTCATGTCTGCTAAATACGGTTCCTCAAAGAGGCATAATTTCTAATGTTCCGCATGACATGAATTCTAACCGGTTTAGCAATGATCAGCTCCACCATTTACTTCTGTGTAATCTCTCCCTAACGACATTAAAAATAAAAAAAAAAAAATAAAAAAAATAAAAAAATAAATAAAATAAAACAGGGGAGGAAAAGAGAGAGTTGTAGAAGCAGTTATTTCGCGAGTGACATTTTACAGGGGAAGAGGGAGGGAAAAAATGGTAATTTAATATAGATAAAAGGAACAAATTAAGTGGGCTGAAAACAGATGCTTTAGGAAAAAAAGGGGGAGAAATAATAAGGAAGATAAGCATGTGCCGGCTGGCTCCTGCGCGAGAAGAGTGGCCTCCCTGTCTCCCTGGGACACCCTCGAGTGCTCGGGGGGCAGCGCTTCTCATTTAGTTTTATTTTTTTTTCCTGCATGGAGTGGACTCCGGAGCCTCAGCCCGGCCCCAGCGGCTGATTGTTCCGCGGCTCCGGTGGGTTCCTGAGGAAACCTTCTCCCTTCTCTTCTCCAGACTCAAAAGCCCCAGGTCCCTCAGCCTCTCCTCCTAAGAGAGATGCTCCAGGCCCCTCAGCATCTCTGTAGCCTCTGCTGTCCCCTCTCCAGCAGTTCCCTGTCCTTCTGGAACTGGGGAGCCCACAACTGGTCCCAGTGCTCCAGATGGGGCCTCCCCAGGGCAGAGCAGAGGGGCAGGATGACCTCCCTTGAGGTTCTCCTTGATGTCCCTCAGGATGCCATTGGCCTTCTTGGCCACCAGGGCCCATCCCTGGCTCATGGCCATCCTGTTGTCCACCAGGACTCCCAGGTGTTTCTCCTCAGAGCTGCTCTCCAGCAGGTCATGGGGCAGGTGCAGAGACACCCGGGACACGCTCACCAGGCCCCCGGGCACCCCCTCTCCCTGTTGTCCCCCCGCCGCGGCGTCCCCCACTCACAGATGTAGTAGTACTCGTGGCCGGGTCTGAACTCGAAGCCCAGCGAGAAGGGGGTGAAGAGCTGGAACTTCTCGGAGAACTTGAGGGGCCCGTTGGGGGAGTTGGGCCTGTTGCACTCCCAGCGCTTGAAGCCCTTCTGCCGGTGGTCGCAGGACGCGTGGCCCTCGTAGTTGACCATGTAGAGGATGTAGCGCTCCATGCGCTCGGGCAGCGGCTCCTCGTAGTGGGGGCAGTAGATGTCCAGGTAGTCGTTGATGCTCACCTCCACCGTGTAGTCCCCGCGGTGGAACCTGGGGGAGATGCTGGCATCAGCGGGACCCCAATCCCACCACATTCCCAACCCCAGGAACCCCCAGGAACACCCAGGAACCCCCAGGAACACCCGGGAACCCCCGGGAACCCCCAGGAACCCCCAGGAACACCAAGCCCTTGGTCAGACCCTTTACCAAACCCTTGTCCCATCCTACCCCATCACCCCCATCGCCCCATCCCACCCCATCGCCCCTTCCCAGGCTCCCCAGC